ATTACATGTGATATCTACAAAGTGTGATAAATAGCGTAATAGAATTTCATTACATGTGATATCTACAAAGTGTGATAAATAGCGTAATAGAATCTCATTACAACCTATATACAAATTACATATTTTTACCGTGCCCGTATCATCAAAGATGAAAGGTATATTAAGGGGGAAATGTCCGTCGTTGTCGTCGTCATTGTTAATAATTGTTAATGTGTACACAGTAACTTTACTAATTCTATTCCAAACTTTATCAAACTTGGTCACCTAATTCATCAGTATAAAATCTTCCCCTAGTTCCAACGACAGTTGTCCTGCGTGAAAATATGCAAAAATTGAGAAAGTAGTTGTCACAATCTGAAAATTTTGACTGTCTCTACTGGACTGATTAGTGGTGATCAAAGGTAACTGTCCCAGTGGGAATATGCATTGTTATACGTGTTCAATGAAGTAAATCATCTATCTTGTAATCAATATCATTGGTAATGTATCTCCCAAATCCCTTGGGAATACTAGACTGGTTTCTCATGGTTTGTTGCACAGTCTAATACACATTTGCAAACGTACCAATAAAATACATAAACTATCTTAACAGAAAACAAGATGTCAGATAATTAGTCTAAATCGATATAAGCACTCCTATGAATAAATCTTTGGGTGTCAAACTTTTGATCAAGATCTGAAGCCTATAGAAAATTATGTCTGTTTAGTTCAAATTTATGGAAACAAAAATAATGCCCTCCCTATCTGTTAAAATTTACATTCTACATGTATGTTGTTTTAAAGTGTTGCACCCTAGTTGAATCCAGGTTGACATACATTTGTGATTCAAGGCCGAATTCATGAAAACCATACCTTCTCTGCAAATATTTTGCTGAACATTTTTTTCCTTCAAAAAGTAAAATGTCATTCACACTGTAGTCCAGACCTTATAGTAAAGAGAAACATAAAAATATATTCTTCTCTTGATTTGTGCTCTGAATTAACACCTAGCTCTAAATATGAGCCATAAATTATACCCTTTTGCATGCAGATATGCTGCTCCCAATATGTGTCTGAATTATACCCCCTCACACACAGATATGCTAATTGTATGTCCCAGTATGTGTAGTTATACTGCTCTCAATGTGAATTATATCCCCCTCGAACAGATTTTCTGTCCCCAGTATGTGATGTGAATTATAACCCCTCATAGACTATGATTAATAATTCTCTTGTAAAGAAATATTTTGGCCCCAATATAATCCTAAAACTTGTTTGTATTCAAAATTAATTATGACAATGCATATTCATATTTTAACAAACTATGATAAAGAAAAAAATATTAAAAATCAAAGGGCAAAGTCGCCAGAGTTAAACTATGTTTCTTATTAGAAGACAATGGATTCTTTTCAAGAACATGAACATGTGAACAAAAGCATGTAAGTCAACGGTGAATACAATACGGCAATACATATAAATGACAGTGTGAACACAACAACATTGTACCATGGACGTCCATGATTGTACAAACATCCAGAAAAACAATATACGAACGAGCTAGCTGTTTCAAAGTTACTCTTCAAAGTGTGACAAGCTAGAATGTCATACCAGACTAATTGGCCAATGCATATACACAAAACATGCGTTCATAATACTGCACTTGGCGCATGCTGAAAACTCATCTCAATTGCATGTAAGCTCGACACAAAATGGAAATCACAGTTGTATTAAAGCAAGGGAGTCGTCACCTGCGCATGCGTCAGATTACCATAGCGTGTCATTGTTTACAGACAAGC